TTTTAATGTACTACATCTTGCTGTCAATGATGATGGTCTGTATTTTAAAAGTTAAGGACATGGGTTTAGAGGCTGTGGAAGGAAAAATTGCCTCCAAACAGAAAATAATGTTATATGCAAGACTAAAGTCACATATTTTTTCCTCCTTTCAATGGGTCTGTCAGCTGCAGAGTTTAGGCCAACAGGCCTTAGCCGAGAAAAGGTAGGGAAGCATAAAATCCCTTCAAAGCAACTGCAGGTAGATTCCAGAGCAGGTAGACAGAAGGAGGAGGAGGGTGTTGTCTAATTCAGGTGAACATGTTGCTGGAGGCCACCAGACAAGGCGTGGAGCAGAAGAGGTCATGGCTGGGAGAGCCAGAAGTCTCAGATTGACAGAGTTGGAAGGGACCTTGTAGGCCATCTAGTCCAACTCCCCGCCCAAGCAGGAGACCCTACACCAAGTCAGAAGAGCTGCCTCCAAGAAGAAGATCCAGGAAGGTCTCCCAAGGCAGCTGAAGCCAGAGAAGGAAAGTCAGCAGAAAAAAAAGGGGGGGAGGGAAACTTCAGAAGTTGGCATGATGAATGAATTCCAGGTGGTTCACGGGTTGGGAAACTGGCCATAAAAACATACAGAGAAGAAGGTACCTAGCAATTTAAAGCCAGGGGCTAAGGTGGGCGGAAGGAGGGAGCAACGAGCAGCGAAGATGTTTTATTTTATATGCAAAGTAATAAACACTGAAGTTGTTTAACTAAGTTGCTAGAGTATATATATATATTTGCGCCTGGTTCCTATAGTGTTTGTGTTTCTTTGCATCAGGGTTGATTCCTGGCAACAGCCTGAACAAGTCACTGCAGTTTTCTTGGCAAGAGTTCAGATGAGGTTTGTCATTGGGCCAGACACTCTCTCTCAGCCCTAGGAAGCAGGCAATGGTAAAGAACAATAGAGATAGATAGGTAGATAGGTAGATAGGTAGATAGGTAGATAGATAGATAGATAGATAGATAGATAGATAGATAGATAGATAGATAGATAGATAGACAGATATAATCTAAGCGCCAGAGCTCACTGTAACAGCATTTCCAAAAAGTTATTAAGAGTTGTAAGTCTAATCTTATGAAGCTTCTCTGGAAATATTGACTTGCTAACTAGGGCATACAAAACCTTTGCTAGACCAATACTCGAATACAACTCATCTGTCTGGAATCCCCACTGTATATCAGACATTAATACAATTGAGTGAATCCAGAAGTATTTCACGAGAATTATACTACACTCCTCTGCTCGCAACAGAATACCCTACATCACCAGGCTTGAGATTTTGGGCTTGGACAATCTTGAACTACGCCGTCTATGGTTGGACTTAAGTGTAGCACACAAAATTATCTGCTGCAATGTCCTACCAGTCAATGACTACTTCAGCTTCAATCGCAACAATACAAGAGCACACAACAGATACAAACTCAATGTAAACCGCTCCAAACTTGATTGCAGAAAGTACGACTTCAGCAACAGAGTGGTCAATGCCTGGAATGCACTCCCTGACTCCATTGTTACATCCTCTAACCCCCACTCCTTTAACCTTATTAAACTATCCACTATTGACCTCACCCGCTTCCTAAGAGTTCTGTAAGGGGCGTGCATAAGTACACCATCATGCCTACCGTCCCTGTCCTATTGTCCCCATTTAATCGTACCTATCTTCTGTATTCTTACTCATGTTTATACTTATACCTATTACCTTATAAGCGACTGACAAATCAAATCAAATCAATAAAAAATATATGATAGATGATAGATAGAAGATAGATAGATGATAAATGATGGAAAGATAGCTAGATAGCTAGATAGATAGCTAGATAGCTAGATAGCTAGATAGCTAGATAGCTAGATAGCTAGATAGATAGATAGATAGATAGATAGATAGATAGATAGATAATAGACAGATGATAGATAGATGGATAGATAGATGATAGATGATAAGATTGATAGATGATAGATGATAAGATAAATAGATACGTGAAAGATAGATAGATAGATAGATAGATAGATAGATAGATAGATAGATAGATATAGAGATACATACATAGATACATAGATGGGAGAGAGAGAGAAAGAGTGAGAGAAAGAGAGATGAATATTTGGGGAGATGGAGAGAGAGAGAGAGAGAGAGAGAGAGAGAGAGAGAGAGAGAGAGAGAGAGAGAGAGAGAGAGAGAGAGAGAGAGAGAGAGAGAGAGATATGAAAAAAGTTATAAAGAGGGGTCAAACTTACTGAACCAAAGTCTCACTTAATGACAAAAATTTTGGGCTCAGTTAGGGTCATAAATTGAGGACAAGCCATACAAACATCTTTTTTCCGGTGCATAACAACACTTTTTATTGTTTGTGCAGGTTGCTCTGCTTCGTTGCCTTTCTTGTTAATCTTTAACATTTAACATTTAGAGAGGAAAAAATTGCTTTCCAGAGAGGAAGGCCTTCTGGGTTTATGAAAAGTTTGGGTTCTTTCTTTCTTTCTTTCTTTCTTTCTTTCTTTCTTTCTTTCTTTCTTTCTTTCTTTCTTTCTTTCTTTCTTTCTTTCTTTCTT